CCCATTGAACTGACTCGGCGAGGAACTGATCAAAAATTCACAAAGAGATGGACGGTTGAGAAATCCTCAACGGTGTGGGGCCTAACTGGGGTCCTGAGAGAGGCCTGCATTAAATTGAAAGGCACGGTAGTTCCGTAAAAATCAAAGAATTGAAAATGAAAATGAAAAAAAAGAAAAATCGAAATTTTCTTGTGAACAACGTATCCCCTCTGTTCAGAGTTGAAGGAAAGAGGGGACAAGGACAAGGGGCTGAGGTTCGAATTCAGGATATTCAAAAGAAGGTCCGCTAAAATTACCTATTTTGAAAACCTTAGGCCGGGGGAAAGCAAACAACTAGGGGGATTTTTTTTCTCTGACGGCTGAATTGACAGCGGCGCCGGCTGTATCGTCAGTTGAGCTGTCGACATGTGTGTAGTGAACTGCTGCGGAGATCATCTGGGATCGGCTCCAAATGGCTTTTCTCTACGGAAACTGGGATGGATTCATAGTGGTGAACAACCGCCAACAGATGGGATACCCCAGGAGAGAGACATAATATTTTATTCTGGCCTAGGCTTTTTAGACCACCCACATAAAAATTTTGGCTCTGAGGAACTGGTTGTTCGAGGATTAATCTGGGGACTTTTTCCCGAACAAAGGGCCGATACGAAGGGATCGTTTCCCATCAAGCGAACATATTTCAGATTGGATGAGATACCGTAAAATGCCTAATTAGATAGCACAGCTGCCCGTATCACAAATAGAACCGTCCATTCATCGGGATCGGTAATCCGTCTCCCCAGCAAGTGGTCATCGATCACCGATTAAGGAAGGAAATGGGTAGGCACTCTGCTACCCTAAGTACAAAGCACGTCGTATGCCGAGGAATCTTCGAACGAATGTCGCATTCCGTCGCTGAAGGGAGCGGGAGGGGATATTCAGGGATATTTAGGGTCTGGGAGAAGTTTCTGAATGGCGATTTCTCTCACCGCATAGGAAAATTCTAGGGGAATATGATAAGAGACGTAGGAAGCTTGTGAAAGCGGGACGTACTGGAGGAGAGAATTTTTGAGGGTAGGGAAGGTTGTCGTATATTGCGAATATTCTACCCAACCAAGACGTGCGCAGGTTGAGTAGTTGGCCCAACAAAAGGATAAAATGAGCAACTTGCAAACCATGAAGGGAGAAAGAGGCTTTTCTGCCCCTCATTCAACCTCTCGGAATTAGTCCTCCCTGTTATTGATCCGATGGAAGAATAAATATAGAGTCGAAACTAAGGTCATAAGCAGAGCATATTATCGCTGGGAAATGACCCTGAGAAAGGTCGTATTTCAGTGTTCAGGGGGGGGGTCACATTTGAGGTGTTAGAAGGATCGGCATTCATGTCAATGGGCTTGAGATTTTGGAGGAAGACTTGAGACTTCTGATACTTTTTCTGGTCTGGTGCAGTGAATCAAGGAGCTTACACATCCTGCCCACTCTACGCAAGGTTCAGAGGTAGAATCTGCTGGGATAAACGTGATAGGGGTCGTTCTGAGGAACTATCCCCATCAGAATGACTCGACCTGCTCAGGAGTGATCTCAAGAAGAATTGAACTGGACACAGAAAGAAGAACAAACAAAGCTGAGACAGGAAGTCATAAAATGTCATCGATTGAATGGCAAATAAAAAAGTGCCTGAACTCACCTTGTTCTCGTGAAATCGTTGGTTTATACCAGTACTTCGAGGTGTCTTTAACGAATACCGGATGATGGTGGATGATCTCGGAGGTATCTAAACGGCAACAATTAAGCTATCGAAGTAATTAATCAACATCTGAAAAATAGCCTGGAGAATTGAAGTAATATTTGAGTAAACTTTTCCATTTCAGGCACCATGTAATAGCCCATTATCAGATCTAATCAATCATCAATCGATAATTAGTTTTAGAGGCGCCGATGCACGCCACATGCTATCCCGCAGTAAAGGAGAAGGTGAACACAGGCCACAGATTTACTCTACTCAGTGTATGAAAGCTATAGACTAGTTTGAATAACCTACTGCTTTTCTTGAGAACTGGTGGTGGAAGTGCTGGTGTGGGAGACGAGGTGCAGGCATCGGACTCCTTAGACCCGAGTCCACCTGAATCGTCCTTTGGCCCGTCGGCAGAGACTGAGCTCTCAGTACCGTGTAGTACAGGCGTTTCGTCCAGCTGATTCGGACTGCGTAATACTGACGACCTTTCCGATGAACAACCGGACGACTCGGATGAAGCGAGGGATACATCCGAAATGTCACGGGATTTCAATCGAAGCACGACGGCTTCCGATGGACCGGCATGACAAGCCATTTGTGGAACGAGAAAGGCTCTCGTGAAGGGGAATACAGAGAGATCAGTGGGATTCAGAAGCGGCTAGAAGACGTAAACGTCGCGACAACTTCCGCAGAAAGGAGTGTGAGGCGAATGAAGCTTGTGGCCACGCCCACTGGGACGCGAGAGTGTGTGTGAGTGAGTGATGCGAAACGTCCCTCCCACCTCCGATGTAGCGCGAGAATGATAAGTTCGAGGGAATGGAATCGGGTCGATGGCAAATGGGTTACAGATTTTCGGCCTGAGAAACCTGTTCCATCGCCGTCATGTCCAAGTAACGTGCGAGAAATAGTCATATTGTTGGGAGACGTGACATTACTGCAGTATTTCGATGACTTCTTTAGACTGTACTTTAAACTGAATGATAGAGACAAGATTTCCCGGCCAGTTTTTCGTATTCCCCATACCAATTGCTTATGCAGGAATGTGGATTATTCTGCGTGAACAGGCCGGGAAAGGTCTTATGTTATGAATTGCATGACTGGTCTTTCCCTTGGTTTTCCATCTCGGCTGACTAATAAGTTCATATGAATTTTTCTGAAGAACCTTTGCTATTATGAATGGCTAATTTCATTCTGTAAGGGCTGAGGCGGTGTACCGGCAAGACGCCACCTATCATACACACATACGGGTGGGGGAGGGAATTTCCACCTGTATAACCGAAGCAAAATTATTGGAATGAGAGTTCTTAGACTATGTAGAAAAATCGAATAAATGAAAATATTGGGGTTCGGAAGGAAAGAGTAGAGCAGGTTTCGTCCCGCCCTTTGACGGAAATCGAACAGAAGCGTAGTCCCTCTCTGTACTGAAGTAATGCAAGGGAGAATCATCGAAATTGATGAGTTTCATGAGAAACAATTATGAAAAATGACATGTAAAGCATGAAGGTTGAAGTAGCAAAATAGTAACAGCAAGCCTTCCACACTCTTCAGTCGATTACTGATGTCAGACTTTCCTAGGAAAACAGATATGTTAACTTATACGGCCCTCGCAAGCAACTAACAGGTCAGATCACATCCAAAACCACTACGATCCCGATTAGATGCAGAATACGTGGCGCATCCCAAGAGGAGTCGTTCACGCTGAGCCCTTCAATCCCTTATTCTTTCACTTTCCTCCGAGAATGAAGAAGCGCTGCAGCTTCAGGAAAGATCATGGACCTGATTCAAGAGTCATAAGAGGGTGTAGTGTCCCAGCGCTCATCACCCCTCTATGTGCGCCGTGCATCTGACTATCTCGTGGAATTGATTAGGCGTCAAAATGAGCTGATCCTGTTTCTGTCACATATGGTTCTATATGTTACACGAATAGGAGACTAGTGACAGTGGCAAAAGACTCATCGCCTAGAGCAATATTTAACCTCGGAAGCATGTAATCATC